AGTAGCCGCCGGCGCGATGCTGGCGGCAGCCGAAGGTGGCAGCAAGGCCCTTTGCAAGAAGAGAGAAAAATATATTCTAAAAGAAAAACCTAAGCTCTAGATACCATGTTGTGATTCAGGAATTGTGTGTATTGTTGTACACATACCAATCTTATTTATAGAGTGAATACAATAAATGATAGAGATACTAATCTCTAATATTATGGAAACTAATCTAATCATATCCCTAATTGATAGCGAGGATAATAGCCATAATATATGTATCCACAATATCTGTAATATATTCACAATATCTGTAACAATTATATCCCAACAATTTTTCCCTCAAACAAAAGATCATGGTTTAACATGCTTCTATGTAGCAAAAGCCATCTTTTCAATCCATACGTATTTTAATGGTGGTCCATAGAGCTCAGTCATGCTCTAGGTACTTGTACCGTTGCTTCATCATTAGCTCACGATAACAGGACACACCTCCTGACATCTATGTTAATAGGAAGACTATTCATATAAGAAATCACCAATTAGGAAGACTTTCGATAGGAGGGATCTTATGCTTGAATCCATTTGCCAACTCTGATTCTTGTCTTGCTGATAACCTACTAGAAACTGTTAGCTCATGATAACAAGACACACCTCTCTATGATACTTGTCTTGTCGATCACCTATTAGAAATTGTTTGCTCACAAAAATAGGATACACCTCTTGACATCTATGTTAATAGGAAGACTATCCATATATGAACTCACCAATTAGGAAGACTTTCGATACGAGGGATCTTATGCTTGAATCCACCTGCCAACTCTATGATACTTGTCTTGCCAATCACCTAGTAGAAACTGTTAGCTTTGATACCACATGTTGAGTATCGAGGGTTCCTGCATACATGTTTTCACATTAGTATGATATTATCTACTTTGGGTCTAAGCCCTCATGGATTTGGTTTTGGTCATCACGCAAAAGGTTTCTTCTCAATGGAGGCATTTGTGTATTTATAAGCTCGTATTCCTTCTCTTGTTTTGACGATGTGGGACTTTGATTATATCCCCAACACAAGGTATGAGACTTAAACTTCACATTGGAAGTATGAGATTTTAGTGAGGCTTACAAAGGTAAAATAATTTTTAAAATCTCTCTCCTTTCTTGATAAACCAAACAAGAAAAGAGTTACCTCCTCTCCATTAAAATTCCTCCTTTCCTCTCATCTTATCTAAATAGAATTTCTAATCTCTCCCCTCTCCTTGTGAATCAAACAACAAAAGAGTTATATCTCCTCACCTCCCCTTCATTAAAATCACTTCTCTCCTTTGAACCAAACAAACTTCATTAGTAAAGTCTGGCTAGTGGAAAACTAAATGAGATAATGGAAGAAAAAAAAATAATGAAATATAATGTCCGGAGTGAGGACACCAGTGAGCAAGTTCTCACATCCACTTTTGTGCTTTATCTGTGTAGACTACATTACATTTGCTTGGATTTATGGCATTCCTTGAAGAATTCATGCTCCTGTAGTAGTTCTTAAAGGATGTTGAATTTGACTGGAGAGCCCGATTAATGGGGTGAAATCTTTGTATATTTTTTTTATCCTTTTCGGCTGATGCCTTGTACTCTGATATGTAATTTCTTCTTAATGTTTTTTAAAACACAGAAGGAGTAAGGTTGTTGTGCAGAAGGGAAAGAGAATAG